AGAGAGAGAGAGAGAGAGAGAGAGAGAGAGAGAGAGAGAGAGAGAGAGAGAAGAGGGGGGTGTACAAAATCCCACCCAAAAGGTAACCCAGAACATCAATAACTCAAAACATCATGTTGGTCAAAAGTCATTTTTATGTGGAGACGTGATAATCTTCAGAAGTGACAGCTGGATCTTTCTTGACTGGTCAGTAAAAGGAGTAGTCTTTGGGGAAAATTCCACTCAAAACGTAATAGCAACAATAATACTTGTGAGTATAATCACGTTTATGTGGAAGCGTGACTCTTGGCCATCAGACGGGACTGTTATGGAGACAAGTGAAACAGCCCTGTTCTGTTGTCTGGGTAATAATGAATAAAGTGGCAGGGCTCACCTGGCCAACTCATTATCCCAAGATAAATTATGAAGGCTGGCTGAAGGCTACAGCAGAAGCCGAGAGAAACGTTTATGTTCTGATGTTCTGAAACTTATACACGACGTGTGGAGGTCAGGCGCTGATCGCTTTTCGCGCGCACACAGGAAATCCCAAGTTCGATTTCCGAGTGGGGAGAAAATTTTTATTGAATATCTTGGTCTTACTTTCCGTTGGGGTGTTGTAGTATCCCTCTCAGCCCGGGTCAGAAGCCACCCTCCTAAATGATCTTAACTGTGTCTAGATGGGGGTGTAAAATATCTACAATAAAAATTCTTCCCCCCTCCCCCCAATTAAAAAATTCGGTTGATGCATAATGCGTATTGTAGGTTGAGACGTATAATATTATATTAATGTATTAATATGTACATATTAATTTGTTACTCTGTTTAGGTCTACTGGCCCTATTTAGTGGTAAGTGGACCGACTGATAGTACATATCTTTTCAGATTTGTTTCTTCTTAAGTTTGCCCATCATTCTGCTTTTATTTTGTATATCGCTTTATTAATTTACAGTAGACGTGTATTTTTTTTAAGACGTGAATAGAAACCAAACGTTTTTCTTCCGTTCTTTTCTGAAAGCAAATACTGAGATAGCTTCTTGACATCACCCTAGATCTATGTCTTTCCACTTTTCTGTATGAATTTCAGTGACCCTTCTCCAGGTTCCACGTGTCCGCCCCCTTGGCCTCTTACCCTGTCGATTGCGGAGCAACACTTTCGTTGTTATATATAATATTCAGCTTCTTGGCTTCTTGGGGGTATGTCCAATCCATCGCCACTACCGTCTTACCACATCTTGACACCAGCCAGTAGCAACAAATGCATTGTAACGCTAAGATATAGCGTCACATATCTATCAACAGAGGGCTATTATGCAACACTTAGAGAACGACAAAGCTGTTTCATTCCAAGACTGATTCAATCTTGCTTTTAAAAAGAATGTCTTTAATCCCTATACGAATTGGAACATCTTTTCAGTGCCCGGAAGGTCTGGTTAGAACACCTTTCAGCACCACAAAAAGTTTCCAAAGGAGGGACTACCTATTCTAAAATTCATCTCCTTTTAGTTTAGTAGAGGGTTTTACGGCGCTCGCAACTGCATAAAGTCATATGAGCGCCAAAAGTCATCTCCGATATAGGGATGAGCCAAGATGGTGGAAAGCAATGTTTACTCTTGGAAACAGCTAATACATTCAAGAATGCTAAATCAAACATCCTATAAAGGCCACCCACTTACGGGAGAAGATACGTCAACTGTGCTGATGGCAAACCTTGAGGAATGCGAAAAAAAAGAATCAGTTTGAAGATACGCCGTTTTGGGACATTACTTCATGACTTCATTATTCGAGCAGACTTTTCGAAAAAAAAAATTACCTGAAACTCTCAAAAGCATACTAAAATATGCATACTATGAGATATACAAACTTGTGTTTCTCATTTGTGTATGGTAGTTCAAAATGTACTGAAACGTTGCCTTTGTTTTCCTGCTGATCGGACATAATACAATGTATGTGTTCGCAACGTCCACAGAGACGCACAGCAAGCATGAGTCAGCAAGTTTGAAATATTCACAACTTTTCCCAAATTCTCTAATGTAACATCACGGAGTTTTGTTTTGTTTGTTTGTTTGTTTTCCACAGAGTCCTTCATTTGTATTCCACGACAGACGGGTAACATTAGTAACAACATAATTCGCACCCCCCCCCTCAGAGATGATGAACTTAGAACTTCCGCGTTGCAGACATCACTCGTGACTTCTTGTGTGCTGCAGACGCCAGCCCTGTCTGACCTCGCCGAGGGCTAAAACCTACATGACGTCTTGTCTCCAAGCAACAGCAACTCATTGTAATAATAATATGTATACGTTAAAGCACTGAAGAGATTGAAATTTTTATAGAGCATGGTGTCAAGAAAAGAAAATGCGGTCTTGGACGAAGAGACAAGGCTTGAACTCCATAGCTCATAAATTCTCGGGTCTTTTGACTCGCACTTTTATTATTCGCTTCCTCGTCATCTGTCACCCTTGTGCTCCTTTCAAACCGACAGGTTAAAAAAAGAGGACACGATTCACGTTATGGCATATCTTCTAACCTCTTTTTCGGATAATTCATAGAAACAGAGCAGGTCAGCAAAATGAGCGACATTTCAGCCCCCCCCCCTCCCCCTCCCCCCAAATCCATCCATCGTAGGCCAAGCACATTTACAGCAGACTGCCATAAAGAGCCATCCACAGAGATACAAAATTGGATAATGTACATTGCTACTGCTATGTTAATTTACCAGTACTGTAGCAGTTTTTCTACTTTTTGGCATAAACGTTTTCTGCAGACTGACTTGGCTACAAACAGACGCACT